TGTAATCCATTACATAAATAAAAGACAAGAACCACATGATCTTATCAATTGCCGCAGAAAAGGCATCGGACAAAGTCCAACACCCATTCTTGATAAAAACTCTCAGCAAATAAGAACAGAAGGGAAATTCCTCAACATAATTAAGGGCATTTATACAAAGCCAACAGCAAACATCTTCCTAAATGGAGAGACTTTGAAAGCATTCTCCTCGACAATGGGAACTAGACAAGGATGCCCTTTATCACCACTCTTATTCAACATTGTGCTGGTGGTCCTAGCCAGAGCAATTAGGCTAGAAAAAGAAATAAAGGGTATCCAAATTGGTAAAGAAGTAGTAAAAGTATCTCTATTTGCAGATGATATGATCTTACACACAGAAAACCCCAAAGAATATACAAGAAAACTACTGGAACTAATAGAAGATTTCAGCAAAGTATCAGGATACAAGATAAACATACACAAATCAGCTGGATTCTGCTACACCAACAAAGAGAACTTCGAAGAGGAAATCACCAAATCAATACCATTTACAATAGCCCCCCAAAAGATAAAATACTTAGGAATAAATCTAACCACAGATGTGAAGGACCTATACAATGAAAACTACAAGACACTACTGCAAGAAACCAAGAGAGACCTGTGTAAGTGGAAAAACATGTATTATTCATGGATAGAAAGACTCAACATTGTGAAAATGTCAATTCTACCCAAATCTACAGATACAATGCAATCCCGATCCAAATTCCAATGGCATTTTTTAATGAGATGGAGAAACAAATCAACCCCATACGGAAATGGAAGAGGCCCTGAAGAAGTAAAGCATTACTGAAGAAGAAGAACAAAGTAGGAGGCCTCACACTACCTGATTTAGAACCCATTATACTGCCACGGTAGTCAAAACAGCCTGGTACTGGTACAACAACAGATACATAGACCAATGGAACAGAATTGAGAATCCAGGCATAAATTAGTCCACTTATGAGCAACTGATATTTGACAAAGGCCCAAAGTCCATTAATTGGTAAAAAGACAGTCTCTTTAACAAATGGTGCTGGCATAACTGGATATCCATCTTTAAAAAAATGAAACAAGACCCACACCTCACATCAAGCACAAATGGATTGAAGACCTAAATATAAAATCGAAAATGATAAAGATCATGGAAGAAAAAATAGGGACAATGCTAGAAGCCCTAATACATGGCATAAACAGAATACAAACCATAAGTAACCATGCACAAACACCAGAAGAGAGACTAGATAACTGGGAGCTCCTAAAAATCAAACTTATGTTCATCAAAAGACTTCACCAAAAGAGTAAAAAGACAACCTATAGACTGGGAAAAAATTTTTGGTTATGACAAATCCGATCAGCATCTAATCTCTATAATCTACAAGATACTGCAAAACTTCAACAACAAAAAGACAAATAACCCAATTAAAAAATGGGCAAATGATATGAACATGCACTTCACCAAAGAAGGCATTCGGGTGGCTAACAGACACATGAGGAAATGCTCATGATCATTAGCCATTAGAGAAATGCAAATCAAAACTACAATGAGATACCATCTCACCCTAACAAGGCTAGCAGTAATCCAAAAAACACAAAATAATAAATATTGGAGAGGTTGTGGAGAGACTGGAACACTTATACACTGCTGCTGGGAATGAAAAATGGTACAACCACTTTGGAAATCGATTTGGTGCTTTCTTAAAAAGCTAAAATAGAAGTACCATATGATCTAGCAATCCCACTCCTTAGAATATATCCTAGAGAAATAAGAGCCGTCACATGAATAGATATATGCACACCCAGGTTCACTGCAGCACTGTTCATGATAGCAAAAAGATGGAAACAATCTAGTTGCCCATCAATGGATGAATGGATAAACAAATTACGTTATGTTCACACAATGGAATACTACCCAACAACGAACAATGATGAATCCGCGAAACATGTCATAACGTGGATGAATCTGGAAGGCATTATGCTGAGTGAAATTAGTCAGTTGCAAAAGGGCAAATATCGTATAAGACCACTATGACAAGAACTCAAGAAAAGGTATAAACACAGAAGAAAACATTCTTTGATGGTTACGAGGGTGGGGAGGGAGGGAGAGGGTCATTCACTAACTAGATAGTAGACAAGAATTATCTTAGGGACAGCACACACTACAAGGGAAGTCAGCACAGCTGGGGTAAACCAAAAGCTAAGAAGTTTCCTGAATACAACCAAACACTTCAAGGGACAGAGTAGCAGGGGCAGGGGTCTGGGGATAATGGTTTCAGAGGACATCTGGGTCAACTGGCGTAACAAAATTTATTAAAATCTTCTGCATCCCATTTTGGTGAGTGGTGTCTGGAGTCTTAAAAGCTAGCAAGTGGCTATCTAAGATGCATCAATTGGTCCCAATGCACCTGGAAGAAAAGAGAATGAACACCAAAGACACAAGGAAATATTAGCCCAAGAGACAGAAAGGGCCACATAAATCGGAGACTCCATCAGCCTGAGACCAGAACTAGATGGTGCCCAGCTACCACTAATGACCGCTCTGACAGGGACTACAACAGAGAGTCCCTGATGGAGCAGGAGAAAAGTAGCGTGCAGAACTCAAATTCCAGTAGAAAGACCAGACTTAATGGTTTGACTGAGACTATTAGGACCCCGGAAGATACAGCCCCTGGAATCTCTGTTAGCCCAAAACTAAAACCATTCCCGAGGGCAACTCTTCAGACAAAAATTAGACTGGAGTATAAGACAAAAAATGAGACTTATGAAGAGTGTGCTGCTTAGCTCAAGTAGATACATGACACTAAATGGGCAGCTCCTGTCTAGAGGTGAGATGAGAAGGCAGAAAGGGACAGGAGCTGGTTGAATGGACATGGGAAATCTGGGGTGGAAAGGAAGAGTGTGCTGTCACAGTATAGGGAGAACTGCTAGGGTCACATAACGATGTGTGTATAAATTTTTGTATGAGAAATGGACTTGAATTGTAAACTTTCACTTAAAGCACAATTAAAACAAAACAAAACAAAACCACAATCTCAAAGTACCACTCCACAGATTATTATTAAGGTAGTAAGTTTACTTGTTAATTAAAAGAAAAAAGGAACCTGTTTAGTGGAGAAATCAAACAGACATCACCTTAACTGAGTGATCAAACTTCACATCACAAAGATGGAACAAACTGATATAATGTATTCCATCCTGGATGCACAGAGAAAGTCACAACATTATCTACCTATGTAGTATTACTGACAAGAGGTGAAATACCAAGATGTCTACAACTAACTCTCCAATTGTTTGGCCAAAGGAGAGAAGGGGTAATGGGAAGAAAGAGAAGACAAGACAGAAAAGGGAGCAAGCAAGTGAGCAAGAGAGAGAAAGAAGTAAATCATGTAAACTTAGAAGAAGGATACATGGAAGTTTTTTTTTTGTTGTTGTTATCTGGAAGAATGCAGAATTGGTATATTTCTTCCTTAAATGGTCAGTGAAGCCTATGGGCCTAGAGGATATTTATTTGTTTTGTGGAAAAATTTTAAATAAACGATTCAAGATTTTTTTTTTTTTTTAACAGACGTAGATTTATTTACATTTTCTATTTCTTTTTGGATCTGTTTTAGTAGGTCATGATTTTTGAGAAACTTGTCCATTTCATATAAATTATTCACGTAAAGTTGTTCCAATAAAAGCCTCTACTTTGAAGATGTTCAAACATGCAAGAATACTACAGTTAAAAAGACCATATACTCCTTATCTGTTTTTCTCTGCTGTGGTTCCTGTCCAAGGTAGATCAATGACAGATTCGATGTCTGCTGTGACTATAACTTTCTAATTTGTTGCCCTTATCCATCTTGTCTACCTTCCACACTAGTCAGCAGTCACAGCTTTCTGTAGTGGCCTTACCTTTTAGCACTGGAACATTCAGGATTGGGGAGAAAGGACAGAAGAAATGACACAGGCTAGGAGAGAATGAAGACACTGCCTGGAACACACATTGTGTGTTCACACACACACCTCACACACACTCATTTTTATTTTTTGGGGGTGGAGAAGATATAAGAGTAGACTACATATTCTTTCAGTAGAGCTAATTCTCTTCATTTCCTCTGTATTCTTAACTTCCATATGTCACAATTACTTAATTTCCATATGTCATACTACTCCTTAACTGTGTTAGGTTGGGTCCCACCCTCACATACTAGTCATTGCTCCCCAAACCCAAAGCACAAGTAGGCTGAAGATGCCTCCTATTTTCTGGGGCTCTAGTAAGTTAACCCATGGTACACTTAAGGATCCAGAACACATGGCAGCATCTAAGACTTGTCCTGGCAGACTCTGGGAAGACCTGCAGAAAGAAAAATCACTTTTTCCTGCCTTCTCAGTTAGACCAAGCACACAATCTTCTCTAGCATCTAGCTCCCTTTTTTTAGGAGCAGCCATAATACACTGACACAATTTTCACCTCATGGGAGTGATGGGACTAAATGAGGCAGGGGTAACTAAAGACAAACTGTACTTCTTCATATTTTTGTTCAAGGCCACTCTGTTTTCAAGGATGTGTTTCTATTCATTATAGCCAGCTTAAATGGAACAAAGGTCTGAATTAATTTAAAATAGTCAATGTTGGATGAGGCAATCTAGCAGTCAAGAACATGAGGTCTGCAATTAGACCTTGGTTCAAATCCCACTTACTAGCAATGTGATCTTAGGCAAGTTACTCTCCAATTCCAAAGCTCACTTCCTTCTTCTGCAAAATGAGAATGATTCCTCTTTCACAGGGTCAAAGATTAAATGAGATAATGGATGTAAAGCACTAGCACCGTCCTTTGCACCCGATAATTTGTAGCTAGTTAGTAACGTATCGTGCAAAGCAAAGCCCAAAATACAGGGCTGATTTGTGTTTACAATTCATTTGGTCCATTTGATTTCTGTATCTTTCAAACTATAAACAGTGAATGAAAATATTTGATTCATATATTTAAACTTGCACTTACCTGTTACTGAAAAAGCCAAATCCATGACCATATCATGGTGCCAATGTAAACACGTGTATGTGTATTTCTTATCATCATCAAAATTTCTCCTAGTGGACAAAAACAAAATTTTTAATTAGACCAAAGGCTTAAGTTAGGAAAATAATGGCATGCCAAATACCATAATAAATCATAATATCAAGTTTATTGGTTTTAATGTGCAAATTGTACATTTTCTATTTCTAACCCACATCAGTTCAACAAACAAACCATCTATGGTATACTACTAATCAGATATTCACTATAGTCACTCTTTCCTTTTTAGTAAAGGCTGACAAAATGTCCTCTTCGTTAAAACTATAGGTAACATGGAATTTTTCACTCCCCCTATGTTATGGATTGTAAATATGTGTTGTAAATCTTAACCTCTATGCCTGTGGTTATAACCACATTTGGGAATGGGCTATCTTTGTTATGTTAATGAGGCAGGATTAGTGTTGAGTGTCTTGAGTCACTCTCTTTTGAGATATAAAAGATTAACCAAGCCAGCAGAGATGGGGGAAAAGAAATGCCAAGTCATATGAAGACTATCCAGGAGCAGAAGCCGAAGAGACTAGCATGTTCCTCCAGAGCTGACAGAGAGAGAAAGCCCTCCCCTACAGCCAGTACCCTGAAGTCAAACTTATAGCCTCTTAAACTGTGAGAAAATAAATTTCTGTTTGTTAAAGCCATCCAGTTGAAGTATTTGTTATAGCAGCACTAGATAACTAAGACACCCTATAAATCCAAAGTCAAAAAATTCTATAAGAGTAACTATATGAAATGAAGAACACAAATAATAAAAGAAAGGGTGCCAGCAAAGCCTAATTCCTATTTCCAACAGTGGCTTTTCAGTACTCTCCTTTTTACTGGATCCAGAGATAACTCTGTCCTGCAGGACTCATAAAATAGCATATACATGATCACCAGTCTTCACGAATTAACTGACCAAAGACGAATTTTGCCATCCTTGTGACCAGATGCTATGCAGTCTTCCTTCGGGTGGCATGCAACGCATGTAAAATTGTTCTTAGCATGTTTCCTATTTCTTGATGATGATAAAGTAAACCTAGGAGGAAAAAAAACACTTCCCTTCACTATCAAAGTCTCTTGTAAGTGGTGATGTAGTTAAGTAAAAGGAGGTTGTCATCCTTATTAATCAAATTAGAGAAGTCTCAGAATGCAGTCAATAGAAATGCAGGACTTTTTTAAAAATAAAATTCTGATTAAGAATCAAGCATTTTATTCTGCAAACATGCATTAATATACAAATACAAATATCTCATGACTAATGTTCTACTATAGTAACTGGCATATGGAGGCCATTGGCATTTAAGTAAAAAAAAAAAAGATAGTGTTTTTAATGGCTTTTTTGGGATAGGCAACATTTGTTCAAATTTCACGCTGGAGTACATTTTACCATGAGGTATGGGTAAGCCTAAGAAACTACACCTGAGACAACTGGCTAATATGTCTAAAGGGATAGATCCAAAGGAATGAATCCACTGCTGGATTATATCTAGGCTATTTTCTATTCTCAGGCTGAGTATTTGGCAATCTTCCTCCTCTGAGGAAGTCATGATCCTTATTACACTGTAAAGAAAAACAAATGTCAATCTTGGCAGGGTAATAGGAAGAGGGGATAGTGTCACTTGAAGAGTTGACTGGTCAATGCTTAGCACTAGTCTCTTTATGCTATCTATCTTATTCATCCTCACAACTCTACTAGGCAGCTAGTATCCCCATTTTAAATCTAATTTAAGGTGCAGTGGGATTTAAATGGACTAAATTTCACTCATTGTAAACAGATACTTGAAGGCCTGTATTAAGTCTTATATCCATAAAATGAAGACTAGAGGTACCTGGAGAAGGCTTTTCAAACTACATCTAATTTTGGCACCAAGTATGCACACCAGAATCTAGGCGCACAGGAGCTTCTGGCTAGACAAGGTTCCCTTGCTTTTTGTGACTAATGATTCCCCATTCCTACCTGCTGTGGATTAAAAAAACTATACCTCTATACCTCGTGGTGCCACCATAACTAGTTACATGAAACAAGAAACAGTTTTGGATCACAAGTATGATACAAAATTATAAAACACCCTTAATAAAATAAAGCTAAAAGGAATTCTTACCTTGATGTTGTTTTCTTTTTGAAAAAATAAACAGACAAATAAAAGTCCCGTACTGCTGCAACATATTCTCCCTAGTATTTCAAAGAGAAGATACTGTAACACTCACAAAACTAGAATCAATACAATAAAGAGTACAGGCAGTCCCTGGGTTATGAATGTCTGACTTACGGACAACTCGTACTTAAGAACACTTAAGAACGGACTGCCATAAAGCCTATTACAAGTTTTGAGTTAAATACAATGGTTTGTAATAACAAATGCATGCACTACTTTGTGATGCTCATGAAAACATTGTGCAGTTTGGATAGAAGTGTTTCTTACGCATTAAAAAAACAAAAAAACACCAAACTCGCAGACTCATAGTGACCCTATACGACAGAGTAGAACTGCCCCACGGGGTTTCCAAGGAGAGACTGGTGGATTCTAACTGCCGACCTTTTGGTTAGCAGCTGAACTCTTAATCACTGCGCCACCAGGGCTCCCTTATATGAATAGAAAGGTAAAATATATACTATATACTAAGACATACATTTGACCAACTGACACTAAATAAGAAACTGCATGTATCTGTTCCCACTTAACTACAAATTTAACTTAGAGAGACTTAGGAACGGATTCTGTTGGTAATCTGGGGACTGCCTGTACTCTTTAAGAAGATTATCATCATAAAAGTTAATACGGTACGAGTAATTTGGTTTAACAGATTAAGAATATCTTAATATAAATTAGATATTATACTGTAGCTAAAGAAAGGATAACGTACTTTTAAAATAATGACAGAAAATAAAAAGATGAACTTTGGTCCTAAATCCTAAACTAGACTCTCCAGCTTTAAATATTAAGGCATAATTTATATACAATAAAATGCAAGTTTGACATATGTGCATACTCACGTAGGCATCACTATGATTATGATTTAGAACATTTCTTTCACCTCAGAAAGTTCCCTTGTGTCCCTTTCCCGTTGTTTCCCAATGCACCTTCCCCTGCAATTATTATTATCAACATAGCTTATTTTCTGTCCCTTCTAGACCTTCACATGAACAGAATGACATAATATATACTCTTCTGTGTCTGGATTCTTTAGCTTAACATTTTTGAGGTTCACACATGCTATTGCATGTACTGGTAGTTAATTCCTCTTTATTGTTGAGCAGCATTCCATTGAATGAATGTGTATCATAATTTGTTTATTCTCTTGATCAACACACGATTATTCTCATTTTGGAGCTACTAGGAATAATCATCACTCTTGCATACGTCATTTTGTGAACATGTTTTTATTTCTTTACGTGGGAGTGGAATTGCTGGGTCATAGTAAAAGTGCAGATTTAATGTTGCTCCACAACCTTGCCAATACTTGGTATTATCAGTCTAATTTTAGCTGTTCTAGTGGATGCTATGTGATATCTCACTGTGGTTTTGATCTACACTTACCTGACGACTAATCTGTTGAAGAATGATAATAATGTTTAAACATTAATAATGTTAAATATTTTTCTCTACTCTGAGAAATTAACCCTTTTCAGAACAAAGCCAAATAATGCTATAAAACTTAAAGCTAAACACACAGCACTGTAATGATGCTTGAGGCTTTTGTTCATACTTGATTTAAATATAATAAGTGAATATAGGGGGTGGCTAAATAAATCATGGTATACTCATATAATGGAACATTACACAGTTACTATCTCTGAAGAACATTTACGTATACACTTATGCTGTAATTTTAAACGGAAAAAACCAAATCAGGATAAAAAGCCTTCAGATCCTAATTCAGTTTGGGAAAAGTTATTTTATATATGTGTAAGAAAAAGACTAAGGAGCCCTGGTGGCGCAGTGGTTAAGAGCTCAGGCTGCTAACCAAAAGGTCGGCAGTTCGAACCCACCAGCGACTCCGCAGGAGAAAGATGTGGCAGTCTGCTTCCGTAAAGCTTTACAGCCTTGGAAATACTATAGGGCATTTCTACTCTGTCTTATAGGGTTGCTCTGAGTCATCGACTTGGGTTTTAAGAAAAAGACTAGAAGGAGATTCCTCAAATATTATCACTGGTGAGGTTATGGATTTTATTTCCTCATTATATTTTTCTGTAATCTACAAATTTTCTATAATGGGGATCTTCACACTGGATACAGTGGTTATTTTATCTAAAGACACATTGTCTGAAATAAAGAGAGTAGTTTTTACGTGGGACAGGCTGATAAATACAGTACAAATGCCAAAATATTGTTTGCTGAAGAGGGGAAATTAGAGTTTACAAGTACAATAGGCTAGAATATACAAAATTAGGATGGTCCTAGAAAATCTATACCATAAATGCATGCTAAACCAATGAAACAGATATTTTAGTTACTAACAAAAATATAGTAAATGAAGGCAATACTAAAACAATTTAAATATAATGCTCAGAGGATAGATGGCAGGAAAGGATTTTATGTGCAAAAAAGAAAACCAACATAACAAAATTTACCTCATTTCCAAAGGCAATGCACTTGGGTGACTGGTTTATATAATCCAAAACAAAGGCTGTCTCCTTGGCTTCTATTTCCTGGCTTGATGATTTTGGTAGCTTCACTGAAACCAGCTGAAATATATCTAACCAAAAGAAGCTGTATTAATATAAAACTTCTATAGAAAAGTGAAAACATACATATATTCATATGAAACTGTTAATCAGTACTTTAGAATTCATTTAATGCCAAGATAATTCCAGCTTGTCTTAAAAGATGTCTCAGAGCTGGACTCTTTGCTTGAATATACTTGTGTGAAGTGGAAGTTTATTTCTACAACTCATATACATACATACATACCCTATGTATATACATATACGCAAACATGCATGTATACAGCCACTTGTGTCTTATTGGCGCATTCTACATTCCAAAGTACTAAGCTGTGCATTAAAATGGAGATGGAATAAGAATACTGGTAAACTAAACAGCCAAAAGCAACAAACCACCTAAGAGAACTTTCAGAAATGCTGGGCTTCCCACAATGTTCACTGATAAATCCCCTTTTCTATAATATCGACAAGCTCTTCTCTTTACATCTCTTAAAAAAGTTTCTCCCTAAGAGGAAATAACTATTATTTTACCATGCTACCTCATCATGTTTGACTTTATAGTGAATATAAAATTCTGTAACACACTGAACTATTTTTTCCTATTTTACAACCTGTTTTTTATGTCCTCTGAACTACTGGTTCTTCTAGCATTCTCAATCAAAATTTACATGCCTAAACTTTTAATTCTTGATTTTTCTCTCTAAACTTGGTCTTTCCTCAACACTGCTCACTGCAGTAAATGACACCACATTTACCGAGACCAAATCTTTGAGTAATCTTTGACTCTTCTAAAATCCACATCAAATCATCAGCAAATTCTGTTGGTTGTACCTTCAAAATCTATCTACTCAGCGACAAACAGAAAAAATAAGTTAATTATACTATACCTGGTTTTTCTTTATTTATTGTTACAAAGACAGAATCCTTGGTGTGTGCAAGAGTAAAGAGGGCATGAAGTTTATGTCCAACTGTGAAAGTCTGAAAGACAAAAATCATCATCTTGATTGTTGTTTGTTCCCCCAACCCCCTTCACTAAAGCATCACGTTTCCTAAGGGCAGGTATTTTTATCTGTTTTGCTCACTGCTATAGCCCCTACATCAGAACAGTCCTGTTCTTTAAAGACATTCAATATATATTTACTTAATAACCTTTCAAGGTTAGTACATACAGATGTAGTTCTTTTTAATGGTTGTATAGTATTTTATTGAATGGATGTAACATAATTTTAACCAGTCCCCTATCAACTGACATCAAGCTATATTGAATTTTTTTTCTACCATAACCAATGTCACAGAGACTACACATACATGCCATTATTTTAATAAGAGATTCTTACAAGTAAGATTGCTGGAGCAAAGGGTGGGTACTTATTCATTTTCAGTTTTACTCCCATTGACTGTGTATGAAAGAAATTTATCTAGCGATTTATTCAATCACTAGGTTTTTTTCACCCTGCTATTTGGCTAATCTGATAGAACACAAGCTATGTCATTTGTTTTAATTTACATTTATTTAATTAAGCATCTCTTCATGTTTACTGGCTACTTGTATTTTTTTCTGTTAATTATATATTCAAATCCTATAATAATTTTTCTATGGGGTTATTAGCTTTCTGTCATTGATTTTTAGGCGTTATTTTCGTATACTAGGTATAATATCCCTTGCAAATATTTTCTTCTAGTTTTATTAATTACTTTCTTTTGGTTAGAAGTTTAAAATTTGTCTTTTATGCTATTTGAATTTCACTTGCTTAGGAAGGATACCTAATGATTAGACATCATAGAAGGAAACAATGTGTCTGTCATTAAAGTGTGCTGCCGTTCCTTTTCACATAAGAAAAACAAAAGACAAATCCACATACCTTTATCAAAATGCCATCTATATAGTCCCACAGCTTAATTGTGCCATCAAAGGAACAAGAATACAGCTAAGAGTAAAAATTGTACAAAACTGATTAACAAAACAGAAATACAATAAAATGTCAAATGAATAATTTAATGCTGATACAGAAGACGTTTTCTGTTCATCAATTCATTGCTAATCTTAAACAAGTAGAGACTCAATTCTGCAAAATAAACAATCACAACTCTCCAGAGAAAGCAGACTCATCAATTTCCAGTTTTTAACTAAAAATGAGGAGTAAAGAAAAGTCAACCCTCTTTCTTCAAGAAGGAAAGGTAAGGTACTGAGTTATGAAAAGCATTCAAATTGTTGCTATTTCTCTCACAGCTTGGATGCTGTGGCAAATTCAAAGTGCTATAAAGTTCAGGACACTCATTCTATACTCATCTCATCACAGGCTGAGAATCAACAGCTTGTGGCACTGTTTTATGTACCATACTTTGGTAGCACTAGAAAGTCTTACTAACACTTATTTTTGTCCCAGTGGATTTAGTTTTACTAAGGCCATTATAGACTTTCTTGTTGTTACTGTGAAAACACTTTGCTGATGTTTATAAAAAATTTTAAGCTCTTTTAAAGGAAGTGACATTTTTAAGATCTCTACAAATGGGGAACCTGGCTTCACAGCATAGAAATAAAAAATGTTGGAATAAGACAATATTTTTCCAAATAAAATAATCATATCAAGTAGAAAATATATACTATAGTTACTACATATAACAAAAAATTAAACATGGATCAGTAAGTTATAACAAGTCAAACATATAACCACTATCAAAACAACGGTTAATACACAAATACTCCTAAGTCCATAGACTCTCTGCTCCAGGCACCACAACCAAAATTACCACTAAAACTGCTCTCCTCTAATTTTAAATTTCAGCCAAATGAAATAGATCTTTCATGCAATGTGTATATAAGGTTCTTGTTTTGCTATAAAACTTGGTAACATAGACTTCACAAATTTCAATTTTAATGATAGAATACTTTTGCTATGAGGGTTTTATCAAACTCTTAGACGCCAGCAAAGATAAAAGGGGTGCTTATAACCTGCAGAATAATTTTCAATCAAGTTAGTTGATTTTCAAGAGTAGTTTATTTAATTTTAGAAGGAAAAGCTTGGTGTCACTTTACACCCTTCCTCTGAGATAACGCAATGTAAATCCATTCTTAAGTAATAATTTCCAGGTTGGCTGTGACTAGTAATCCAGAAATATGGAGCTTGGTCAAAAACTAGAGCAAGAGCAAAAAATTACTGAGATAACTCTTTTGTGGCTTTGCTGAAACTTAAGAACAGAATTCCATTTCATTATTCTTAAAAATTCTGAGAAGCAAGGGCTGCTTTGTGGAGGCGAGTGGGGAGATATGGACAAAACTAGGTTCCCAAGTTTGTCCTGATCCGCTAAATAAAGATGCACCAACTGAAGAAGTCCCTCTTCTTGTCTAGATACCTGCATTAACCCTAAAGAGCCTCATCTTTAAAAGGATAGATCTCCCATGTTAGTAACTCTAGGCCAAAATTTCCTGAAATGTGTTCCACTGATCTGAGATACTCTGAAGAAATCAAAGAATTCAGAGGTCAAATAAGTTTGAGAAACACCACGTACTATACACAGGCAGTCCCTGGGTTACAAACAAAATCCGTTCTTATGTCTGTTTTTAAGTCAAACTTGTAGGTAAGTTGGAAAAGGTATATGCAGTTCTTATTTAGTGTCAGTCAGTCAAATGTCTGTCTTAGTATACGGTATATATTTTACCTTTCTATATGTTTAAAATGCTTAAAAAACACTTCTAAACTGTGCAATGTTTTCACGAGTGTCACAAAGTAGTGCGTGCGTTCGTTATTACAAACCATTGTGTTTAATTCAAATTTTTAATATAATAGACTTTATGGCAGTTCTTTCTTAAGTAAAAGTTGTCCGTAAGTTGGACCTTCGAAACCTGGGGACTGCCTATATATCACTTTTGGATATTCACAATGCATGTGAAGGAACCAGAGAAGTCCTACAATTAACAAATCCATTTAACTGTTCTTAACTCTGAATTTCAGAAACTCATACAGCCAAGGATCCTTTCTTTCAAATAATGCCTATTAGCATCTTGTGGAACAAATGGTTCACAGAATACATCATGGGCAAAGAAGTTCCAGGCTGTCACCCTATTTTAATAAGTGAAAAATATCCTGAATCAGAAATCAACAGGGCTAATACACCGCTCACAACCTGAAAAGTTTACCAGCCAAGTTCAACTCAAAGTCTGACACCTGTAGATGGTTGCTGGGGTTGAGCTGTAGTCCAGTGACGAGATCGCTGTGTCCGTGCAATATGTGTACACATTCTTCTGTAGCTGTGCTATAAACTTTAACAAAGTCCCCAGAAACACAGAAGATATACCTGGAAATAAGAGACAAATAAGTTTCACATACGCTATAATCTTTTTGTCCAAGATAAAAATAAAAATAAGGAGGTTTAATAACTGTATATTCATATTTGTGTGCTGTTTTAGGCTATGGGGATTCTAAGGCTGATTAGTTCTTTAACTCAGAAGAGTAGATTAATGAAGCCAGTCATCTCTCTGACCTGTTCTATTGGCACAGGCTGTACAGACTCATCCTGCGAAAACAGCCAACTTAACCAAGTTTTCTGCTCACTAAATGGATGCAGACACTGTGTTGTGTGTTCACTTAGTATCAACTATTACACTTCGGTGGTTCTGCTCTAACAGCAGTGTCCTCCAAGGTCTCCCAACTTGCCATGGTTTACTGGAGACACTAGCTAACAAATGCTAAGTCAAAGGCTCTGCTCAGACTGGGGATCCAGGTCTCTTTTGTATAGCAAAGCACAAAGACTTTATGACAGTTCTTTCTCTTGTTGCTCAACTGCTGGTTTGCTTTTGTGTTTCTGGGTTTGTGGCTTTCTTCCACATAGCAGAGGCTGCTGAAGTACTCAAAGTAGGTAAACTGGTGTAATATTTGTTTGACTGTTTTTATAATTGATGCCTTTGAATTATGCTGCTGGCCAAGAATATTGAATATATCATGGATTGCCAGAAGAATGAACGAATCTGTCTTGGAAGAGTCTAGCCAGAATGCTCCTTAGAAGCGAGGATGAAAACTTCATCTCATATACACTGGACACGTTATCACAAAGGACCAGTCCCTGGAGAAGGACATCACGCTTGGTTAAGTACAGGGTCAGCAAGAAAGAGGAAGACCCTCAATGAAATGGACTGACACAGTGGCTACAACAATAGGCTCAAACATAGCAACAACTGTGATGATGGCGCAGGACTGGGTAGTGTTTTGTTCTGTTGTACATAAGGTCACTGAGTCAGAACTGACTCAATGGCATCTAACAACATTTTCATAATGGATATAACCATAAGACAGAGTCCAGAAACGCAAGTCTTCTAGTTATCACTCAAATGAGAAGTGTTTGCTCAGTGCCTACTCTGGGGAACACTTTTTTCATATACTGTAGAAGATGCAAACCACAGCCTCCTCAGGCTGGACCTCTTCTCTGTGCTCCCAAAGCATCCCATGCATAACTTTATCCTAGTATTTTTCACACTGTGTTGAAATTCCTTGTTTACATATATATCCACCTCTCTTAATTGGCCATAAGCTCCTATAAGGCAGAGGCCATACTTATCTTTGATCCCCAATATCCAATCCAGTTTGTTGAAAAGAATTTGCCCAATCCTCAAGAGTTTTACAGACTAACTGGATAAAACAAATCAACGAAATACTATTTCAAAACAATGAAAGAGTAAATCTTCTGAGGCTGCCTGAGGTTGCTACTACCCTATTTTATCAATTCTAAGATACTTGATTTTTCACATATTCACCTCTCTGAAATCAGGATGCATCTTACAATCAATGGTGTCTTATAACTGGTCAGGGATGGCATGGTTGTGTGGAAACCGTCTAATAAGATCTAGGAAGTATGAGCAACAAAGCATTGAGATGTATGGTTTCCTATTTGGCTGGATCTTCCTTTCCATTCCTATCAGTATCATAGTTCAGAGGGCACAATGGGTAACAGCAGGCAACACATTTGGGTGGAGATGAACTAGATCAGGGAAGGCCCTGAAAAGCAGCTAGAAGACTTGTAGTTACAGAAGGCAACAGGAAAACTGTTAGAATTCTGAGCAAGACTAGGAATAAGAGGGTAATAACCCTCCTGACAGCAAAACTTTTTGGGAAATTATCACAGCAGCAGTATCTAGAATGATCTGCAAGAGGAAAGGACAGTCAAAAAGTAGCTTTGTGGTAATTTAGGAATGTAAAAAGCAAGGCAATCTAGGAATGAAAAGGCAAGAATGACCCATTATTTCAGTTTTCTATACAGTAGTAACCCTAATGCTACAAAGCATAGCACCATATAACTGTGGGATGGAGAAGGATGTGATGGAAGCAGTACTGGACTGGGAATCAGTAATGTCTGCTATGGGAATGTGAGGTACTTTCCTCCACGCCCACCTCCCCACTTAATTCTCACAACAACCCAGTGAAGTAGGCAAAACAGAGTTTTAGTTCTAGTTCCAAGAGGACCTAGTGACCAAGACAAAGCTGTTAAAATTCCATAATTCTGTTGTTTTATTATTTCAGCTTTCCTGACAAGCTCCTTGAGGTAAAAAATAAAATTATTCTATTCCTTTAGCTAGCCAACTCATTGTGGTGCGTTTTAGATAACGGATATTCAAACAATCCTTGATGAGTTCACTATAACCCTGTTAAGCTGCCAGAAGAGTCTGTGGGTGGTACAAATGGTTAACACAAGCAGCTGCGAACTGAAAGGCTGGAGTACCCAGAGGCTTCCAAAAGAAAGGCCTGGTGATCTACTTCTGAAAAATCAGCCACTGAAAACCCTATGGAGCATAGCTCTACTCTGACACACATGGGGTTGGCATGATCAGCATCAAGTTGATGGCGACTGGTTTAATTTACTAGAGAACTGGCTTTAACTAATCACTACTATATAGATAACAGGAGCCCTGGCACAGTGATTAACAGCTTAGGCTGCTAAGCAAAAAGCTGGCAGTTCGAATTCACCAACCACTCCTTGGAAACCGTATGGGGCAGTTCTACTCTGTTCTATAGAGCTGCTATGAGTCAGAAATGACTTGACAGCAACAA